GTGTTTTCAAGCAGAAGTGATAGGTGACAGCTGCTGTTCTGATTTTATGATCAGCAGCTGGGTTCCAGTTTTGCAATTGCAGTGCTTGACATGCACTTGCAGAAGGGGAGTAACTACTTCTTAAAAACTACTTTTTGAAATTCTGGATATGCTTTCCTCATCAAGTTCTTGCAGGCATCAAGGGATGGTTTCCAGGACACTGGGTTTTTCTGAATTACATCATAACTTTGCAAGAATTCTAGGTAAACAAATACTGATTTAGCAAATTAAATTGGATAGCGCTGTATTTTTCTCTGGCCTAAAAATGTAAGGAAAATCATCTCACATTAAAATAATTGCATAAGCACCTAACATTTTGAAGAAAGAATTGCCACTCTGACCTGTCATGTTTACCTTCTGTTTTAGAAGTGATCTGATTGTTTCTTCTGAAGAACCAAAGGTGATATGAGCATCTCTGCAGTCAGTGGAGTTTCTTCCATGCTATGAAGGAGTGTTTTATTTTTTCTCTCCAGTTTTTTAAAGATTTATTGAATATCTTTTTTGGAAGGACTTTAGTAAAACCAGCAGAAGAAATGAGGGGAATAGACTTGGATCACCATTCTAATAGCTTTCATCACTAGAAAAATCATGCTTCATGTGCGTTACTTAATATGGCTATTTCCAACAAGCTTTTTTTGTTAGTAAATGAATATTTCTGCATTCCTTAAGACACAAGACACTGGAATCTGAAAGTAACGGGCTGATTTGGGTGGTGGGACTGATTCTTTTTTGTTTTTAAAAAAGGTGGGTGTTGGTTTAAAAGGCATAATTGTAAAATTGGCAAAGAATCTTTTACACTTTATGGTTCTAATACTTGAAAAATAAATGCCTCATTGCTCTACAAGTAGAGTTAATGGGGTGTTTTATTTAAACCTGTTGGTTTAAATGTTATTGCAGAGAACTCTAATTATGGGGGCGAACTATAGGCTTCTGTATCAGGTTCTTGTAAATGTAATTCCTACAGGGACATTCTGTAAATTGAGACGTCACTATGATCTTCTCACATTTTCTCTAAAAACACAAAACAAGAAAGGTTTTAAAATGTGAAAATTTGAAAGCATTATTTTTTCATAGACAAGAGGATAACCTATTGTTCTCCTAGATTATGTATTTATGAATTTTGCTCAGTACAGAAATAAATCATTTGATTGAATAAATTAGACAAATGTGGCAAAAAAGATACTGCAAACTTGATTTTTTTAGTTACATCCATGTTCACAATACTATAAAAGATGTGTATGCATATGTGCACACATGTGTGCACACACATACAAGGAAATATCTTGTTCTGAGTCCTGTAAATTGCTGCTGCTCCCAATGATGGAAGACTTTTCCTTTGCCTTATCAGACTTTTGAAGACTGTGTGAAACCTGGGATATTTGAGTTTTGGATGATGATGCAGGTTCAGGGATTTTTGGGGTTTGCTCGTTTCAGAGCAAATGGAAAATGGTCATTGTGCTTTTTTATGTAGTGTGTGGTTTTTATAAAGCAGTGCAGCTTGAGTGATAAGGAGAGCGATGCAGGTTGCTTTCTCTTTAGTTTGATGCTGATTTCTACTGTCATTCATTGTTCCATCCCACACTTTTGGTTGCTGTTGTGCAGAACTGTAAAACCTTGCACGTTTTTGTGCTTTGCTAAACAATGCTGTTGGAGGCAGAGCTCGCTCTGGGTGTTTGCATTTGCAGCATCGCCAAAGCCTTGAGGCATTGCTCTCTGAATCAGTGAGAAGATCCTTGGGTAGGGAAAATGGAGGTTCATGGGCTCTCAGCTCCTGCTAACAGAGAATTTTCCATTAAGATTCCTGCACTTGCCTCTGGTGAGCACTGAGCGAGGCCTCTAGGAAGCTGTGCAGAAAGTCTGTGCTAGCAGAAGAGATCCTCTGAGACAAAAGCCGAAGGAGTTTTGAAGAAATTTCTGCTGCTGCCGAGTGTTCATCTTATAGAGGAGATGGGACAAAAGCAATGGAAATAAAATGAAAGAGACTTCATCTGCCAGAATATTTATGGAAGGGAAAAAATAGCCATTCAGTCAGAGTGCTTTCAATAGTAACTTGTGACACAGTAAAATGAATTGGGTTCCTTTCTTGCTTTCTTTAGTTTTCCATGTACATAGCCACAATATTTTGAAGTGTCCAAAATATGTAGTTTTTCTTTAAAACTATATATAGCATGTAAGTACCAAATAAAACTTGTTTGAAATATTTATTTCTACTTATATTTTCATTTTCTCGCATAATTGAAGCAAGAGTCAATCTCTGATAGAAAACTCTTCTTGCTACTCATGGTCTGCTTAAAATTTTGCTTCAGATTTTCTCTAATTTCTTTACTAGAAATCAATACAGAGTCACTTGCAACAAGAAGGAGAGCAATGAAATAGGCAGTTACATTTAGCTTCAGTTTTAAGTCTTAGGATTCATTTAGGATCGGGTTTAAATTGTGTTGATCTTGAGCTATTTAGGATTGGTTAGAAATTATGCTGGTCTATTTTTGGGGAGACTTCAGCACATTTGCTTCACTGTTTGTGGAAAAATGAGCTGGCTTTATTTCTCACATTTACTTTTTTTGCTTTGATTTTTTTTTTAGCAGGGCTGGATTAAAAACAGTTTGTCATTACAGTCAATCCAGGTTTGCTTCAAATGAGAGCAACTATTTCCTGTTTCAAGGACATGACATACAATATAAAAACAAGGGAATTGAGAGTAGATGTATGAAATTTTAAAAAAGGATTTAATATTGAATTTTTAAATCTTTTGGTTAAGCCTCTTTTAATGCAGGGAAAACAGTTTCTCTTCTGTTTAGTGTTGGTTTTGACAATAAAATATTGGGAGGAAGGCCAGCTCCTCTGCCTGCTATTGCAACTGGTTGTGTTGTTTGTACCATGAGGGCAAGGTGGAACTGCTCTGTGAGGTGGAAGTAGCAGGTGCAGACAGCTGTTGTGAGGGTTGGGAGCAGCAGCCTTCCCCAGCAGAGAGCTGTGTGCTCTGGGAAGGCTCAGCTCTGTGCTCCCATCTCCACAGCACAGCATCGATGCTCACAGGGACGATGCCCTGTGAGTTATTTCAGGACATCACAACCGCTCCATTGCTCACCATTAGCTCTGTTTGCTTCATGTCTTTTATCTCCTCATTCCTGATGAAGAATCCTTTGTTATTTGTTAGCTTTCTTGCTAAGACACTGAAATAATGTTTGAGATTACCTAAGAATACAGATACAGGACACTAATATCTAATATCATTACTTAATATTACACTGCTTCTTTTTGGAAACTGGTCTAAAATCACCCACAGGGGTGGTTTACAGTATGAGATGTTTTTGTTCCCAGGTGTGTCATTCAGCCAGTCCTTTGTTTTAGAAAGTCCACCTGCCCAAGGCTGAGCACATGGTTTGTCACATGAGATTTCAAAATGGAATTCCTGTCATGGATGAATATTGAAAATGCCATATTGCTTTATCCAAAGTTTCTGTCTACCCTGCAATTTCATAAGGCCTTTTTACTGCACTGAGTGTGGTTTTGGTTGGTTTTACTTTTTTTGCTTGTTTGTTTTTGCTTTGTTTTTTTGGGGTTTTGGTTGGGTTTTTTTTGGAGGGGAGGTGCATTGTTGTGTTCTGTTTTTTCCCAAACAGTACCATTGGAAAGAACTTGCAGATATTAAAAGAAATAATTATCAAAAATGCCTCCCTCAAGCACCAAAGTTAAATTCAGAGATTTGAGCCACAATAAAATGGAACACTGAGCTCTTAACTGATGGAATAACTTTTTTAAACTATTTTTTTAATCTCACTTTCATAGCATGTTTGTACCCAGTGTCAGCTCTAAAGCTCTACATGCACATAAGAACTATGGTCAGAAGTGCCTCGAAAGACAGTGTGCTGCTTTTGGCTGGGGTAGAGTTAATTTTCTTCACAGTAGCTCAAAGGGGGCCATGTTTGGGTTTGTGCTGAACACAAGGTTGGTTACACAGGGATGTTTTAGTTACTGCTCATCAGCTCTTGCACAGAGTCTGCCTCTCACCCCACCCCACCTGTCTCGGGTTGTATGAGAAGTTGGGAGGGGACAGCTGGGACAGGTCACCCCAGCTGACCATAGGGACATTGCATACCTTACATTGTCATGCTGGGCATATAAAGCTGGGGGAAGGAAGAGGAAAGGGGGATGTTTAAAGTTACATGTGTGTCTTCCCAAGTAACCATTACACATGATGGAACCCAGTTTTCCTGGAGATGGCTGAACATCTGCTTGCCCATGGGAAGTATATGTGTAAGAAAATAAAGTGAATTTAAACATGAATACCTTTTTATTGTTCTTTAACCCGATTTAAAATGAATATCAATACAAAATATAACAAAAAATCCTAATTTTGTCAAATATTTTCACTCATCCCTTGTTGCGAGTAGCTTTAGAAAGAATTTAACATTTGCAGAACACAGTTCTGTACTTAAACACATCTCACCCAAATCATTCATGGTTCCTGCTGTGTTCTGTACTTGCTCTGTGCAACGTTTCCTTGCCTTAACATGCCTTTGCTCTTCTGCTGGAGAGTAGAGCCTATAGTGTGGACAAGGATCAGCTGTAAGGCTTTACCTATTCTTGTTTCTTACAAAGTTTTTGTACTTTGAGAATTGCCCCTCAGCAGTTACTTTCTGTAGTAACCTGTTTGTAGTTTTCTACCTTTATAGTATGGGTTGATTCAATTATTTTCTAAAGTCCTTGGAGTGTGCTCTGAAATACAGGACATGGAACAGAAACAGAATAAAGATGAATGCAGACCTGCATACTTGAGAGATGCCTCATCAATGGAATCAGCCTGTTGCATGAATAAAACCTCATTAATACAGTGCTAGTTTTTCTGAAGGGGGGGGGGTGAGGAAACCAAAAACAAGCCATGGAAGGTTAACCAAGCATAGCAGGTGTTTTGACCTGCTCCAATTCTTGTTATCGGGACATGTCTCTTGTATGGCGAAACTGCAAGTAGCAGGAAAATTACAGGAACCAAGGAAAAGAGTTGTTTCCTCTGAAAGTTCAGGCCATTGGATCTGGTAAGTTTTCATAGACCATTTGGCTTAAATATTAACTGTCTTCGTGGCACATAGCTGCCCTAAGGAGCTCTTGAGTTTCTTCTGTTTGCTGACGGATTTGCTCAAGGAGTTCAGCCATTTGGCTTTTTCTGAATGCTAATGAAAAGTCTGGATCTGAAGAGAAATAACAGGTGTTAGGCAACCTGCTATTTTTTGCTATGTTCTAATGCAGATGCATAGAAAACTTATTTTTCAGGTTAGCTACAGTTGGTTGGTGATTCTTATTACAGGTAAGACAGAAAAATACCACACAAAGCACATACAAATTCAGTTTTCATCCCTACAACCATTCAAGATTGCTGCTAAATTCTCCTGATCCAAACGTATAAATCTCAGTTGCCAAATTCAGCCTTATGTAGCAGCTGCCTATGTAGATATAGTGGGGTTTTGGCTCTGGCTCTACATACATAAAGATAAGTGCAATATACAGTTATTACCACATTATAACCCTCATAGGTACTCAACTTTTATCCAAAGACAAGAAGACTAACTTAACCCAGCATAATATTAAGAAATATTAATGGACTTTGAAGTATGAAGATGTGAGACTTCCCAGCTTTACTATCAGCTAATTATGCAAATTTCTTATTTGCTTGCTTCATCAAAATAAACTAAAATCACATTTGAAAAACATTTAGGTTGCAAGCAGCAAGGGTCAGACGAGCCCAGGCACGTTCCATCTGGCAATATTGGGATTTTATTCCAGTAAGTGCCAAAAGTCCTTATATAGGGTAAGATTTTCCTGAAGTCCCATTTCCCTGCTGTTCTGAATGCCTTTAGTTTTAAAGCAAACAAACAAAATCCTCCTGCCTTTATTGGGAGATAGTCTTGAAGAGCTGCTTAAAAACATGTAAGGTAACAGCTACCCTTGAGATTATTCTGTTTTCTTTAGTGAGCAGAGCTAGTCCCTGGAGAAGTTTGCACTGTCAGTGGTTGGACTCATCTTAGAGGTCCTTTCCAACCCTAATGATTCTGTGATGTCTGTTACTAAGCAGTGCCTGTTTGCTGCTGATGGGTGCAGGCAGCCTCGGCAGGAAGGACGTACCTGCTCGTAGTCCGCAGAGTGTGGAGATGCCCAGCTGCTGAAAACGGACCTCTTGGTGGGTAAGAAAATTCTTGAGGTAGGCTTGAATCTCTTCAATGTGATACTTCCACAAAAGCATCATTTTTTCTGTGTAAATGGGAGAACCACTGGAGATCAATGCAAGCCTTTAAGCACTTTGAAAACTGAGTTTTGTAACATTTCAATAATGACTCATCCACCTTCAGCTAAAACCAGCATTACTGCAAAGACTGACAAGTGACTTCCCTGTACTACAGCTTCTGGTAATACTGCTGATACTTCCGGTAAATAAAAAGATGAGTGGGCTGCTGGGAATCTGATCCCTGTGCAAGGGGCCTACTGATTGACAGTGGTTGGCCTGGTAGGTGAAGCTATCCATTAGATGATTATGCTGTTGGATTCTGTTCACTACCTGAGAGAGAGTCTGCTCTGTTGCAAATCCTCAACGCTAGAAATTAAGCAGATTTGCATTTTCCCTTAATGGGGACTCACCACAGATTTCAGTTTTTCTTATGTCTAATGTCTAAAATCTAACTATACCTTTCTAAAGAATGTGGCAAGTATCATCAGAACAGCTTTTTCTTGCAAGTGTTAAAGGCTCTCAGCCGCATGAGGCAAGTATTTAAGCATAAAACTGTTTTCTATAGGTAAAAATAATGCTTTTTTATTCTCTTTCATTGAAACTTGAAAAATTTCGGCTACATTCTTAAAACTACTTCACTTCACTGCTCCTGCTAATTTAGTCTAGAATTTTATCAGCAGGATTTGGTTCAGTAAGAGTTTTTCTCTTGCTGGTCAGGGAGTAGAGTTATGCTAAAATTTTGGAACACAGCCTCTGCTGTCTGTGGGGGATGCCATCAGATTTTACATTCCGAGAAAGAAGGTCAAACACTAAGATATAACCTTATTTGAAGTGACCCTTGTCTGAAACACGTTCTCATCTCTCCCATGGTGAGGAGTATGTTAATGGTCTCCCACCTTCCTACTGAAGCTGTTTGCAAGGACCTCAGAATTAGCTATGGACCAGCTCTGCAGAATGGCAGTTCTTGAAGAAGGCAAAAACCATGTAAATCAGACCTTTATCTGTGGTCCACTTTCATCCCTGGAGTTTCTCGTGCACTCAAGGACTGTTTTATTTCAAGGGTGACTATAGGCATTTGTACTCTGAAAAATTCGTAGAGACCAAGTTGGGGGGATGATAGAGGAATATTTAACGTTGTTCAGTGCCTGACAGTCCTTTGGGAAAAGGCTAATTTCACTCCAGACAGCCATAAGTCTCTTTCAAAGCACAGTTAATCCTGTGTGAGTTACCGTGACTGATCATGTGCTGGATGATGGAGGCAGCATGAAAGGATGGCTCAGGATGTTCCAGTTGGCCAGCCAGTCTCACCAAGCACCTTGTCAAAGGTTCATCCATCCACTGGACCATGTGTAACATGGCTCCTTCTGGAAGGCAGAAAGGTAAGAGAATAGTCTCTAAATAGGAACTCCCGTGTCAAAGAAAGGAAGCTGAGAGGTCTGCCAGAAACTGCTGAAATGGTGAATCCTTCATGCAACTGGAGAGGCAAAATAAGTGCTGAACTTGGTTAATAAGTACGTTTAGGTTGTTAAAAAGGGTCATGTTCTGAGGTTATGCTCTCAGTAAGGTAAGGCCATGGATTTGGTTCATATTTTGTTGGCTTTTTGTTCTGTAAAAATGAATCACTTTATGTGCAAGATCCACTCTTGGCCTATTGGACTCAGTCTGTCCAGCAGCTACTCCAGGAGCGCGCTCCACTCGCAAAATTAAATGTGATGTGTTGCCAGCTGCATGGCCATCACACCAGATAGAAGAGATGACCTGTTTGACAGACAATATCCAATGCTGGGCCATGTTGGGAAAATTTACACTCATCCTTTCTGCTTTAAAGAGTGCTGTACCTTTCATGAGTGCCAATTTGGTATCTCTGATAAAATCCATGTGCAAAAAATTTCCAGATATAGACCTACTTTGTATTTTAGTCTTTTATATCAGTTTATGCAATGATAAAATTATTTCAGCCTGAGAAACAGGAAATGTTACAAATAGAAGTAGACAGGCCATGTAAAGTTCAGCAAAAAAAAATTAAAGAATTTTAAACAGATGAACAAAAGTGCAGACAATGGAGCCCATGTATCCAGTGAATTGGATTTTGTTGTTGAAACTTACAATGAATTTAAAAGGAAAGACTTGGGCTCTGTGTCCAGTTGTGCTCCATCTCCTGTTAGAATTAATACAAGACATGTGCACTTCTCTGATTCAGCCACTGATGAATTGGAGGGTTGCTGCCATACCTTGCTTTGCTAGCTCAGCAAGGCAGGATGTCACGTAATGAAGGGAGTCTTCCTGAGTGTCGGTCAAAAGCATGGTCTGGAGGAGACCTTCGACACAGCGGCTCTCAGTGATTCTCTGCCACAAGAGAGAGAGTCATGTTTAGCACTTCCATTAGGGTTTAGTGGTGTCTGGGGGCTTCAGAAGTACTGAGGTGAAACCATCAATAATGGAAATGTCTCCTCTTAGATCTACCACAACCAGGTGAAAACACCTTGGATTGTTCAGAGATACCTGTACTGAGATACATATGTTATAGACTCAGTTGAAAAGAGATAGGAGGCTTAACTTGTGCTGACCTGGACTAAAAGCAAAAAATGAGACCAAGAAATGAGTTCTGAATGAGTCAGCTGGGGGTGACTGGTTGCTAGTGAAGTTGAATCATGAAGTCATCAGCTCTCTGGGATGTCCTAACAATGGAAGTTGCTCATGGCTCCCTAATTGAGCTCAAGTGTCTATCAGCAAAATGGAGTATCTTTTTCGGATACTCATTTTATGCTGCATTTTTTGCTGTGGTTTTTTAACTTGCTGCTTAGAGGTTCAAGGTGGATTTGAGACTGCTGCTTTTCAAGCTCCCACACTGTTTCTGTCCTGCTGGCATAAAAACAGTACTGCCTTTTTCCTCTTGTGCCAAGGACTTGTGTTTTAGGGAGCATTCCTTAGAATTGATCCTGGAAACCTGGCACTCCCACTCATGTCTGTTTATTCACTTATGCAGCAAGAGCTTGATACTCTCTATCTTATTAAGCTTTATTGAAGGTAAATCAGGTCCCAGCTGATAACAGCATAAAGTCACAGAATTTAAGTATTTCAAAAAAGACTATATTTGTCAAACTTTGAATGATGGTCCATTTTTATTCCTACTGTGGGCCTTGAGTTTAAGGGAATCTAGTTTCCTGCAAAACTCGATGTCACAGCTATTAGAAATTTATATAATTCTTATCTTAGTAAAAAACCCTGTAATTTTCCTTCTGGCTGGTTCAAATCTCTGGAACTAGTAGTAATTGTATTGTGAACAAAGGGGGAAATAAAGAACTGAGTCTTAAAAAGTGTGTACTAGGAGGTGGAACAAAGCAGAAGTGAGGATTTGGTGGGGTTTTTTCCTCATTATTGATTGCTACTGGTGGTACTGTTTGATCAGGGTACTCTAAAAGGCAAGGAGAAAGGAAGATTTTGAAGCAAAGTCAGCAAGAGAGATCTTTATAGCATTTTGGCATAACTAATATCTTGCCAAAGAGGCAAAATGTACATCAATAGCTGGGGTTTTGTTTCACAACGAACAGTAGCTGAAGCATGAGAGCCAGGAAATAAAGATACAGTTCATAACTGACCTCAGATTTTCCTGAACAATTCCTTTAGTCAGTATGAAATGTTCTTGCTTGAACTTTTTATACCTATGATGCAGTCAAATTAGGTAACCACATCATTCATAGCAAAAATTAGATATTTATTACTTTAATTAGCTTTTTTATATTGTATTAGGAAAATATGAACAGAACTACCTTTCATTATGGTCCTTTTATTCATATATTCAATTCTGTGTAAAATATATAGCAAATTGGCATATGTTTAATTACCCATAGAATTAATTATTTTTTTAATGCTGATTTGACATAAACACAATGGCAACCTCACAGGGTATACTTCAGTGACAAAAATTGTGTACCTACCTGTCTGTTTTTGGAAAGGCACAGGTTTTTGATGATGCAAGCAGTATGTCCAACAATCACAGGGTCTGTTTTATGTGCTGCCAGTAACATCCCCAGGCTCTGCAGGAGCTCAGCACATGCCAGAGTGTCCTGAGAAGAGCAACCAGTATCTCAGTATCCAGTGTGGACAACACAATGCAGCTTTGCAGTGAGCTATGGAGAGATTGAACTTAGCTCTGCAAGAAGAGCATTAGTTTGCTTATTTAAACCAAGGATGTGGCTGGGTCCAGTGCTACTTCTCTCAAGTATGGTCTGATTGCACTGACTATTGAGTACTTGCTATGGAAGGCTGGAGTCTTCAAGGTTGTGTAGTTTATTGTTGTTTCCATCAAATGCCTCACCGTGGTCATTGCTAGTCAGGGGAAGGATGTGTGATCCTGATGGGAAGGAGAGGTTGTCAGGGTTGCTGTCAAAGGCAGAACTACATGGTGAAGTAGCAGCAGCAGTGTGTCCTTGAGTAGCTCAGCAATTTACCTGGCTACAATAATGGGTTGCATGTTTAGATCAGTTTGTCATCAGGCACCTCTTCAGTAAACATGTCCTGAACAACATCTTATTTACACACATTTCTATGCTGTCTGATAATATTTTAGAGGTACCTTGCTGGGTATCTCTCTCTGAATGTAGCCTTCCTCCAATTACCACTAATATTACTTGAATCACAGAATGACCTGGCTTGGAAAGGACTTTAAAGATCATCTAGTTGCAAACCCTCTGCCATGGGCAGGAACACCTTCCACTGGGCAAGGTTGCTCAGAGCCCCATCTAACCTGGTCTTAAACACTTCCAGGGATGGGGCATTCACAAATTCTCTGGGCAATGTGTTCCAGTGCCTCACCACCCTCACAGTGAGGATTTTTTTCCTAATACCAAATCTAAACCTACTTTCTTTCAGTTTGTAGCCATTACTCTTGTCCTGTAGTATCAGATTGGAGTCTGGATTACTGCACAGGTAGTTACCTCAATAACCATATGGATTAAGGGAGCACTGCTGTGTGTAAGAGAAACCTGACTTCAACAGAGTTTGTTTTAGGTCTACAGTTAAAAGCAAAAGATTTCCTCTTGGGAGTGTTTTTTTTCATTCAGTCTCCTTCCCTTAGGAATTTAGGAGTTTTTAATGCAGTTCTTCTGTTTGTTCACAATGAACTATATAATTTGTACTGCCTGGAAACTGAGACACATTAGCAAGGGAGTTCAATATAAAACAAACCATTGGTCCTATACACAGCTGCAAAAAATCACATAATTCTGAAACCTATGAAATATCAGGATCACTAAAGCAGTGTTGAAAGGTGGATGTCTTTAAAAGTTAGTTTAACTTTAATCTTTCTTTTGCTTAGGCTAAATTTCAAAAGTGTATCTTATTTTCTTTTAATACCAGCTGACATCTTCACTTAGCTCATTTTAAGCACTGTCATAACCAGCAATCCTAAAATAAGACAGGAAAGTAAGTCAAAAGGGCAGTTCTATGCCTAAACACAGGGCATTTAAAGAATCCTATATGCAGACATGACAGTAAATTTTCCTTAGATTTTCTTTAAAGGAAGAAATAATATAGTTTTAGATAATCCAATTAAATTACCACTGATGACTGTCTTCTACGCTTTTGGGGCCAAATGTCCTCTTTTCTACGTAATCCCATCAACTATGATACCCATTTTTGATTTGCTACAACCTGAGAGGAGGAAATTTTCTGTGGATTATAAAGGAACTTTCTAATATATAATGACTTCCCTGCCAAGATATTTTGTTTATTTAGGACCTACATTAGCAAGTGACAGTACTTGAATTTTGCTGAACTTCTTTTTTTGGCTGGAATATGGCTGAGATCCAGATTTTGTTTTCTGGCTCAATTCTGCACAATGCAAGAGAATCACGAGAAAACTGTGAGTAAAAATAAATTGAGTGGTTCAGATGGAAATTGATCTAACTTCTCCCAAGACTAGAATATTAAAAAAAATAAAGGCAAGGAAAAAAAAAATCCAACAGCAAGTGTGCTTCCAGTTGCAATGCTGCACTCATACTCCTTACACAGGGATTTCTTGACAAGGTAAATATTATCCCATTTACCGGTTAGGAAAATGTCAAGGCAAAGTTATTTTGTACCTGGAGTGGAGATTCAGTGGCACCATCTGGAATAGACAGACCCTGACTTCCAGGTCTTTTGCTCAAAGGAATTTGACTTAAAAGACTGTTTTCTCACAAAGCCTGTTTCTTTAGTGTTTCAGGGTTGGGCTGTCCTTGGGAAAACTGAATAAAATTCCCTCTGCAAAAGCGAAGTTTTCCAGCCCTTGCTGGGAATCCCTGTCAACAGCCTGACCAGGAGATTGCAAAAAGGGGGCTGAAGCAGGGCAAGGAGTTCCCGTGAAGCATTCCTGGGGGTTTGCTTCATGGTAACTAAAGGGCAGACAGATTCTGCCCCATTGTATCCTGGGTAGTATTTGTAATAATTCAAGCATCACTTGACTTGGTTGTAAAGGTTAGCTTTGTTCAGTGGTTTGTTTTCCAACAGTTGTTCCCATGGAGAAGTCCCTTTTTCAGTCACGGAGAATTCAGGCTGAGTTAGAGAAAGAAACGTTGAAAAGGCTTGAAAAGCAGGCCAGAAAAGGCAGAGAGATGGGGAGGCAGGATGTGAATACAAAGAAGTCAGACTCTTCTCAGAGTGCCCAGGGCTCGCTCGCACAAAGCAGCAACATTCAGTAGTCAGGGATAGCCGTGTTTGCTCGCTTAAACAAATTTAGAGATGTAGATACTTCTCATTGGGGAATAAAGTGAGATGCTTTGCTTTCCGGCCTCCTGCTACTGATCCTTTTTCCCTCATGAAGGCTGTTTCACCACTGGTGTAGTGAGGCTGAGTTCACAGTGTCTCTTTGTGGCCAGGGATTTGAAACACTGGTAAAGACAAGTTTGAGGACCAGGGAGAAAAGGATTTGTGGGTACTCTTTCCTGGGAGAACAAAAAATGTGAATGATATTTGGAGATAAGAAAAGCAAATCTGAGTGAGGACCATGTTCCAGTATGTCTCCTACTGAATAACATATTTACTGTGCAAACGGCCTTCAACTAACTTAATGCATTTCAATTGTAAGCTTGTTGAGAGAAAATTGTGTTTTGATTCTATGAGGCAGTTTGACAAGCAATTGAGGATGTTCTGTGCTCATGCAGCCACTGTGCCTTGATTAGCTCTGTGGTCTAGTTGCTGCCTTCCCAGGCATTGAGCTCACCCATTTTCCTATCACATCCCAGAGGTAGGGGAGGTGCAATTTTGGTTTGCACACAGACAACTGAATTGTTACACACCAAGCTTTCTAAACCCAGAGTAAATTCCCAATCAGGCTAAGTGTATTTCAGGCACAAGAAGCACCTAAGGCCACCTGAAGCTATTCAGACCCTATCACTACTGCTTGAAGCAATGTGGCAGGAAAGGTTCTCACCTGTTTTTGCTCTATGTACCCAACCTCTGACTACTTTCAAATGCTGTTGTTAGCTTAAAACACTTACCAAAACCTTTCACATCTACGTTCTTAAGGATGTCTGTAATTACTGTAAAGAAAAGTTTATTTAAAAACGAGAATAATCTGTCAGTACTTGCCGTAATTTAATTGCAGCCAGACTTCTTCGTGTATTTGCTAGGGTTGCACTATTAATGGTGGTGTTTACCCTGAACATGGGCAAAAGAATCGTTCTGTTACTTAGGATATGAGGACACACAGTCCTGTTTAAAGTCCTAATGCATTAACTAAAGATAGACAAGATTTCAAATGCTGTTAGTCCCCCTTTTTGTTTTGATCCTAATTCAAAATATGTCAATATTCTACAAATGCACTTTTGAATAACACTGTCCATGTAGGGAGTAACGGATATTTGCTCTTTGTTCTGCACTTATGCACTTTAAATGTGTGCTCTAAATCAGTTTCTCTGCTTTTCAGTGGGTGGGGAAGCTCTGTAGCCAAGATATAACTTCCTTGGTTGCCCTCATGGTGGCAGTCTCTCATGGCGCTGTGTTTGTCCTCCCCCTCATACACCTATCTGGGGACTGAGGGGACTAGAGGGAGTTGCAAGGAGTGCAAGGCAGTATCCACATATCCAACGGCTCTGACATCCATCTGCCCCTCTACTCTCTCACTGGTCTCTCCTTGGGATCCCCCTCAGCACAACAGGTGGCTCCTCAGGTAGTTGGTGACAGTGCAGATGCAGTAAATGAAGCCTGGTTATTTTGGGTAGGAGAGAGAAGGGTTGGGAAGGCTCCCAGAGTCTCTTGGTCATTCTCAAATTGCATTTCATAGGCTGTTTTGCCATAACAGAGTGTTACCCCTGGTGGTGGCCCGAACGAGTCTTTCCCCTGTGTTTTAGGGAAATGATCTCCCATACCTGGTTGGGCGGGTGCTGGGAGAGTATCCAGAGCAGAGCGATGGAGGCACGACGCACGTCCTCGCTTCCAGAGGCCAGGAGAGAGCACAGCTGGGGCAGGACGTTCTCAACAACCATCTCAGCCTGGATGTCCACTGGTGTGGGAAAACAAAGGAGGTCAGGGGGGTTCAGAGCACTGCAGGGAGTAATTCAGGCTCTGACTCAAACAGTTGACTGTTGTATCAAATTAGAGGGGACCTCCCCATCTCCATGCGATGGGCAATGCCAGATGTTCAGTTATAAAAAGAAACGCTCATTTGTTCTGCCTCCTTTTGCTGAGGGATTAATACAAGCTTGATGACAGAATGTAGGTTTGGGCACCCTCAGTCTGTGTCTGAACCTTAAGAAAACGAGTGAGGGGAATTTTCCGACTCTATCATTGGCATAAGGCCAGGTATGAAGGTGGCAGCTTCTGCTGAACAAACAGAAAGACCTTCCAAGCACCACCTATCTTGCAGAGTTTTGGTTAGCCAGAAGAGAGCCCAGCCATCCCACTGAGTTGTTATACCCCACTTGCTCCTGCAACCTCAGTGAGTGCACTAAAAGGCAATGCCAGAGCAGCCAGCAGATGGAGAGGCAGATCTAAAAGGTCAAGCAGACTGGGTGTTTCAAACTCGTCAAGGAGTGGCACAGCACTTCCTTTGCTCTCAACTCCTCTATAATTGTGACTTCTTGAGAATTAAGCACCTCTACATTTTCTAGATGAATAAGTCTACCCTGGAGTCTGGGACTTTAGCACTGAGTGTGCCAATCCTCGGCCACTATTTCCTGAATATGTCATAGAAATGAATCTTGGACATTTAATAGCGTTTTTTAGGAGGATGACAAATGCATGGGAGAAAATTATATTTAATGATAGACAGAATCATGCCTTGGAGAAGACAGGTTCCCACTCAATAAGTAATTTCAGAAGACATTCTGTCCTAATTGGCTTTAATGCTTAGAAACATGGAAAGAAGGAAAGCTCAGCAACTCACTAAGGCTCTGTACATAAACACACCTCTGCTACCTTTCTCACTTTCTCCAGATACTCCCCTTGCTACCTGGGAGCTCTAAAGCAGATTTAGTTAGTATATGCACTGCACCTTCCTCTTCCCTTAACATCCAGTTAAAATGTAGAAAATGTCTCTTTGCTTTTGATAGGAAAGGTTCCCAGCCCACTGTGCTCACTCTGAAAGGCAGAGAGAGATAGAAATAGTGTGGTTTCTTTATCTCCAAGACATTGCTTACCACTGGTAGCCAAATTTCTTAGGCAAACACATGCCTGGCTTGAAACCTGCTTGTGCCAAAGAGGAAAACCAAAAATTAAAAATGAGAGAGAGGAGGAAAAAGAGCAGTTTCAGTAATGCATGTTCTTGCCTATTGCACACAAAATAAACATGACAACACTAGTAAGCTCTTACATTATCTTCAAAAGTAAGTTTTGGCACATGTTTTTTTTCAAAGTTTTGATGAAATTTTTTTCAACCTCCTAGTACCAGTCATCCTATTGTTGATGAAAAATGGGGTTCAGATGTTGGCTTTATTTTAGAACATCTGATAAGTTATAAGAAAATTAAGGGAAAGAAATTGTCCCATTTGCTTTGCAGTTTTTTTCACCTCCCTTCTACACAGAATTTCAAGTTCCACCAGGAACTGTGGTTTCTTGAAGTTTCCTTGATGTGGCTTCCAACAAAGCAAAATTCTCAAGATGTCATCCTTGAAGCCATACAGTAAAAGTTCCGGATACCAAAAAGAAAAAAACAAGTAGCACAACAGATGTGTCAGACAACTTCTGTCACACACACAATGATCAAAGACAGAGCCTGGACAGGGCACTTCTCACATGGTGTTTCAAGTTAATAACATACTGGCTATCCTAGTCTAAAGGAAGTGTCCAGGGCTGTAGAACAACTTTAATGATTTCCCTTGGCTTTCTTCATACATTGACCTTGTAGAACCCATGTATTTTCTATTATAGGTGTCTTTTCTCATGGGAAAGATGCTGCATAAGTACCTGCACAGTAGATGAACAGAATAATGTGAGGCTGAAACTGGAAGCCCAAGTCTATACCTCTACTTGGATGCTAAGTCTTTTCACAAAGAGAAAGCTACAGCTTTACCTTGTCCACAGAAGAGGATAGGAGAGAGATCAGTGTCCACAGCAGGAATCTGTCACTGGGTCTCAGCAAGGCTTTGTGGTGCTGAACATTGGCTGCCATGTTGCTCAGGGCAGCACAGCTGTAGTACTGCAAAGAACCAAGAAAAAACGTAGAGAGAAAGGTCAGAGTGGTGACACACTGAAGAGAATACAAATAAACTGGAGAAATGCTCAGATTTAAAACCAATAAAAATAACATGCTTTTTCATCCTAAGGGTGTTTATAGGGTTGAAACAACATGCTGTAGCTGCTCCAGCAATCCTGCTGGGGCGTGTAGTACATTTATTAGGAGCCTGGCTGTTTGGGAATGTGCTCTGCTGCTGCACTGACATTGCTGCTGGCATCTAAGTTAAGTCATCTGCACTATTGTATTATATGTTTACACTGATATACTCAAGCTGGATGTAGATATTGCCCTAGCATGTCAAGACATCATTTCCAAAGCATCTAACCATTAACGCTAGGGAGGACTACACATATAAAAGTATCTATTACTAGGGAGGTACAATTACAAGAAACAGGTTGAGCTACAGAGATGGAAATTTTAAGATGAATCTCAGAGAAATCTAAAAATGTGGAAACAGTTTCCAGAAAGCAACTCCAGAGGGACCATCCCTTCAGACATCTAAAATATCTGAGTAGAGATAATTAAACTAATGGGCAAAAAATTCTGTGCTACTCAAAGGACTGAATAAACAAACTAGCAGAGTGTAAGGATTACAGCTCTGATTCATAGTTTATTTATCAGCACACTTTTGCACTAAGACAGGCTCTCTGATGAGTGTGCAGAATCACAAACAGGTGTCTGTGATAGGCATAAAATAGGATGCTTTATAGATATTTACAACAACAAGAAAAAGATCTATTCAAGTTGTCTTCTCAGAATACTTAATAACATTGCTTAGAGTGGATGATCAAAGTTAGAATGCAAAAATGCCCCAGTTGAAACAAAAAACCAAAACCCAGAAGAAGAGACCTATCTGCATCATGTCTGATGATCTGAAAAACAAAGAAGGTAGCCACATAACAACCCTGTGCATACATTAATGTGTGCTGGCAGAAGAAATTTTAGATCACAAACTTTCTCCTATGCAGTGAGACAAATTGGGTCTTTTAATATATATTATGTGACTGAGCTGAGTTTTGCCAAGATGCTCTCCCATGTTTCTCCACTTCACTAGAGAAAACATTCCTCCTCTTCCTCCTTTTCATTTCTGCATACTGAGGTTTGTGCTCTCCTTACAGTCACGATGTTACTCTTTTAAAATCTGACCTATTTTAGTCATACCTGGACTTCTGAGTCAGGAGATTCCAGCAGCAAGGCAAGAACTGGTAGGGCTCCTTCCTTGCAAAGGACTTGTTGGATTTTCTCTGCCATTAAAAAGAAAAAGTAAAAGTGTCTTCCTCCCTCCCTTCCTCTCATCTGGAGGCACCAATCAAAAGGGATGTGCACAGTTCTTGGGTTCTAAAGAGTGCTGATGTTGTCCAAATATATGCCAGTCAGTGTGACTGGAGAGTATATAATTTAGAGCTTGTGTAATGCAGCAGCATGCAGATATTTTAGCAAAAAGACTAGCAGGCTGTCTGATTAAGCTTTTAATAGTTTTATACTAAAAACTGCTCTGAGAATCTGAATTGCTGGAGATGCTGAAAAGTCTCAGGTATGATCTTCACTGTGATTTCTGTGTTTTCAAAACAAATTATTTAAAATATCCTGAACAATACCAGAAATGTAATAGCCAACTGTATAAGTTCTTTCCAACTGTTTCCTTCCACAACACAGAGTTCAGAGGTGTTGTTCATGACTTTAACGTTTAGCTCTGTGGAATAATGGTATCATCTTGGTAGGTGAAATTTAATGCTGGTTTGTTTTAGAGTTAATTATGGTAGTCTACATATCATTGCAGAGGTCCAAATACTGCTTTTGATAAAGCTCTTTGCAGATATTCCAGGAGCCTTTAATGTCTGACTCGTGATAGTTATACTTAGTATATTCCAGCACTGAGTTAAGTCAGCAAAAAGCTCCTAAAGCTTGACTTTGTTGGATAAGCTCCTGAGATTGCTTTAAAGTACACCAAATGTCCGGCTAATTTTTTAGGCCAAATTGTTTCTTTAACAAATAGCTATTTTTCTCCTATTTCTTTGACTGATTGTTTAAATATTCTTATACTAGCCCCTTGGATTTAAAAATCAAGCTTTTTTGTTTTGCTACTAGGCAAAAAAGGGCCTGTATCAGCAAAATTTAAATCATCAACCTATGGTACCAACATGAATGCCATATGCAGAGGAAATAACTTGTTGATCAGATATGCTTTTATTCTTGCCTTAAGCTTTAGGATTATTTTTCTATCAGTGAGTTTTCTTTTGGCAATTTAGGTAAACCATTAGTCCAAAAGTACCTGATTGTGTGAGGTTCAGAATAGCACCAACTGCATTTTGCTGGACTCTGGGATCATAGGAATTGGCAAGAGACAGTAGGGGTGTAACTCCTCTAGCAGCACCAATAGCCTCTCGGTTGGACTCTGGAGAAAAGAATCAGAGAAAGAAAGAAATATTTACTGACATCTTACTGTGAGCCACAAGCAGGACAACCAGCAGGACTATCCCTTGGTGTTCCCTTCTCTGATTTCTCTGCATGCTCAAAGGAAACTCTTAAAAAGTCTAAGAGCTTAACAGGAAGGAAACCTGTTTCCTTATTTCATTATTTCTGGATTAGCCATAAATCACAGCTGGTTCAATGCTTTTGGTTTGTTACTACGATAATTAAAATATCCTTAATATCCTTTAAACAGGTTAACAGAGTGTTGTACTTGTCAAACCCTTGGTATGTCTGACCAACCTATTCACAGTGTGATAACCAAAAACTACCTCATTAACTGCAGGTAAGGTTTAATTAATTTAGTAGGGTATATTCAGGGCCAGGTTCTTTCTTGGAATTTCCCTGTATTACTCACTTGACATCTACAAACAGTGCAGAGGTTTCTAAGGAAATTAACAATATTTATACACCATTTGAACAATGGCCAGTCTGTGGAAGTTTGCTGAGAGAAACATGAAGCAGACAGAGCAAATTAAAAAAAAGGTATTTGGATAAATAACTAACTAACTTTGAGAGTTACGAGAACAAAGATGCTAGTTTTATACCTAAAACCTATATAGTGAGGAATTGACATAGATTAGCCAGGATGTTTATTCAAGTATAGTTCAGAGAGTATCAGTTTAATATTCCAGGGCAAGTAATTTTCTGTCTTCCTATGAGTATATACTGAAGTAAATAACTTTTATTCTGAAAAAAATGAGAAAAATAATTGTTCTGGAGAGAGTAATCTATTTAAAATAGCTTTTCCATGTGGGAAGCTATTATTCTGGTGAAATATTCTGGTCCCTTTCATAGACAAGCCCTTCTCTAATCTAATCTGCCTACATACCATTCTTTTGTTTCCCTCAGTAGAAGCAGAAAGTCTTTTGTATGACTCCAATGGGTGTGATGCAAACTACTCAGGAGAATAAAAAAGAGAAGTAAAAAGATTAAGGAAGAATTTAGATATCACTCGTTCCCTTATTCTTGTACACAATATACTCCATAAATGTTTGTGAATGTGGAAAAGAACCTTACCTTTGAGAAAAGGGATTATGAACATTTGGACAAAACTTAGGCAAATTCTTTCTTCTATCAGATATTGTGCCTGGACACTTGTTTTACCAGTTTATGATGACAGACTGGATGGGGAAATCGATCTCACCAAGATGTGTAATTCTTGCCATCTCTGTATGAGAGGTGGCAGGCTAGATCATGTTTCTCTCCTGGACCACCTGTTTATCTTAAAAAATGCAGTCCCTCCACTGATGCCACTGCAACCACTGACACCCCTTGGAAGGCTTTTAGAATGTGTTTGAGACAGTACTCTAAAGTGGGGAATCAACATCTACTCAAGCTGTGTTTGAATAATTCACTAATTTATAAATTCTTTCTTTCCACACTCAGACATTTGTGTACCTAAAAATTCCCATCAGAACAACTTTGAATGTGCTTTATGCTCAGTGCATCCTCCTTGTTTTAGCTTGAAGCAGATGTTCAGACCCCCCTAAACCCCAAGCATGTGAACATTTAGTTCTGAAGTACTCTGAGTTCTTATCTCATAACTGATTCACTCACTTTCACTCAGTGATTAAAAAGCTGCAGATAATTGCAACTATGCATGTGTCCTTTTGCTGTGTGAAGAAATGCTGGTGTTGGAACAAACTAAGCTTCAAATATTTTTTGAGAAGTTTGCTCTTCTTATTTTTCAGCTCCCTATTGCAGCAGGGAGACAACCCAGTTTACACATGACCTGCAGTAACACTGCTAAACAGTTTCACTCTGTACATAGTCTTGCATGCTTGTTGCAACAGAATTAGACCATTCTTAGATGCAGAATTTTAGTCACCTTAAAGCCATCTAAGGATCTTCCTAATTTGGTTGTGCTTCCATATTTATCTTTTTTGCATAAATGGTCTTCTTGAAGGATATGACTGAACGGGATACTTTTCTCAAGCAAACGCTTAAAAATATCAGAGTCTGCAAGTTAAAATTAAAATAAACCCTGAAGAATTGCCTCTTGCTTTAGTCTCATTGCTGTGGTATCTAAATATAGTCTGAAAAACAAATAAATGGATCCAGCCCATTTGAATTCTAGTTAAACTGGGACAGAGATCCTTAACACTGATCAAACACCAGGGAGCAACCCAGCCTATGCAGGACTGCCCACCTCTATGTTCAGCTCTGAAAGCTCTTTAAGTGCTTAATTTGGAGTACTTGTGCTCAGAAGGACATTGGTGCTTAAGGGAGTGTTCAAAGGCAAAAGAAGGACCACAGGGAATGAAGGCAGCCTGGATCTGCAGTAGCTGAGGGTTCCCTCCCTGTATTCCAGGTCAGACATGTAGAAGGGTATGAGTGCCTTCAGGACTAAGTAACATCCTTAGATGCCCAAACAAATCACTTTCTCAGTGGACTTTTTAAAACAGGTGAAGGGACATCTCTGTAATTTTTAGGGGCTTAACTTCAGTGTTCCTACACAAAGAAAGTCCTTCTAGAGCCAAGTACCTAAAAGTTTAGTGACGCCATGCCTAATTAAGACATTTAAATGAGGCAATTTGCATTCCACACAAAGTAATGTAGTATGTAGAATTTTAAACCTGACCATTATATGCAATGCTTAAAAATAAGCTCCTAAGGGAAGAGTGTTTAAAAACCTGAAAATAAAACAAAAAGGTGGGATAAAATGCAAATCAGCACTTTCATGTGGTTGGATCCAGCTTATCCACCCCTCCTTTGCAACATAAATACTTAAATGAGAAATTAACACTTTCATCATGCCTCCCTTAACCTTCTGGGACATCAGATTGCACCTTCCCAAGCTGGAAAAGGAAGCTGGCTACAAGAAGGGAAAGAAATGTGAAAACACAACTTTTCTACAGTCTTGTACACAGTTTGTACTGGAGAACTACGAGTTTGCATAAGGTAGAGTGAGACAGACCAATATGATAACCTTTCTTTTGGTAACTGTGTCTGAACTTACCTGTCTGGATACCAGGAAAATATTAAAATCATTATATGAAATATTCATAGTTAAGCAGAAGATGGTGACAAATGCAAGTAGTACATGATGGATAAAAAACTGACTGAAAGCAAACTGGCAGAAAATTTTGCTGAATAGGAATGACCACCTGGGAAGAGGCTACAAATGGAATTCCATGAGGGCTAGTCTGTATTTGTTTTGAACCAGAGAGTTAAAACAAAGATGCTAATGTAGAACTGTCAATGCAGTGGAGGACCAGAATATTTTACAAATACCAGACAAGTTAGAATACTGAAGCAATGGAAACAGAATGAAACCTGTACAAAATGCAGGGATCTGCACTTGGAAACATCTGTGGTACAGAGACTTGATTACTTGGTGTCTGCTGGAAATAGCAGCAAAGGAGGAGCAAGCCTAAGTGATTAAGTCAGCTGTAGGTTGACAACATCACCATGGCACAATCACCAAACCTGCAAGTGTTACCATGAGATGCACCACAAAACATATTTCTGTATGTGCCACAACAAAAGGCACAGGTGACACCTCAGCTGAAGTACTGCACATTTCTGGTGACTTCTCTTTCAGAAGAGATGAATCCAAAACAGAACTCCTGCAGCATTTATCTATACCTTGGCACTGCAACAACACCACAGCCTGAGGCCTGTGGTATCACCATACAGCACATGCAAATGCTAGGTTCCATTCCTGGAACATATCATTTACACTAGGAAGGACTCTGAAGATGAATGGAGAGCCTCACTTACAAGAGGAGTCTTAAAAGACCTTGGCTTTCTCAGTCTAGTAAAATGAAGGAACCTCATCAGCATAGACATCAGAGGGACAGAACTCCTGAAGCAAAAGCCAATGCAGACATTAATTAAGATAAACCAGTCATGAATACATGAATTTCATTTAGGATGAAAATCAGAAAAAGGTTTGTAATAATAAGAGCACAAAGTCAGAAACACTGAGAAAAATAACTGGAATGTCAGGAAGTTGAATTTATGATGTGGGAATACCAAAACTTGTTGCTGCATCTTATGACTCTTAAACCAATTGCAAATAGGTTGTTTCATCTTAAAATATGATGGAAGAGTTGAATGAATTCACAGCAGAGGATAAAGGCAAAGAAAACACTCACCTGAAACAGCCAAAGTCATGATGCAGGCACAGGAATTACACTGGACAGTGGGATCCTCCGATTCAAGCAGATCCAGAATTGGCTCAAGTAAACCCATTTGGACAACTAATTCTTTGTCAACTATTCAAAAATTCAAGAAAAAATGGACAAATAAAAAAGTAAGGATTTAGTGATTTTGTGGAAATACATCATCCATTGACTGCTTTGGAGATCTACATTACGATTATACAAAATAGAACTAAGATAGAAACAGCCAAAAAGCCACTCACAGTCTCCAGCTGGGTTTGCTTAATTCTCCTTCAGATGCATGAAAGAGTGTAACAGATGTTTGGAGGTTTTAGGCCAGAAGGTCCCAAATGAGGTTAATTTTGGCAAGAGCAACTGCAGCTTTCCAATACATTTGCAACTTACTCAGCAATCCCCCTCCCCCCTTTCTTTTTCTTCTGAGGTCTACCATTTAAGTATCATTTTTCTTTGTAAATAATGACATGATATTATTTGCAGCAAAATCCTTAAAAAAAAGAAAGCAAAGAAAAAAGCCAGCTTTGCTGAAGACTGACTCTGTCTTCTGCTATCATGGGACTGCAGGATGGAACACTTGTTGGGGCTCAGGTGACCAGGAGTGCAGTAGTAGATGCAACAAGGACTCTACTGATGAGGTGTGGCATGTTCTTGCCCTGTCTATTAACATAAACTTTATTGGGAAGTTATTCTTCTGCATCTCCCAGATTCTATCTCAAGTCTATTTTCCCCTTTGGTTACAGAAGCAAGTGAATTACACTAAGTGTTTAAACTTTTTTTTCTCTCTACAAGCCATTTAAGACTAAGGTCCAGTTCATAAATAACCAGAAAATGAGCACTGTCTCGTACACAGAGTTTATTTATATTAGCTGTATCCGTTGTTTGAAAGGAAAAATGTCTGTAGATCCAAGAATGAGAATAGAATTCCCACACTGGCCTGGGAATAATTTATCAGCCTTTGCACACAGATCGAAGAACTCTTGTCACATTATATAATGTAGCTGGAGGGATCTGATCTATCTTGGTGCCACCAGAAGCTATGTATCTTGCAGTCAGAATCAGACTCACACTTTGTGTCCTATGAGGAACAAAAAAGGAATCTAGATTTGTGTAGAAGTGCCCACCTTCTGTCTGAGTCTGGCTGAACAGATACTTCTTCACCTGAAGAGAGATGTGTCATTAATTACTCACTATTTTCTTCCAGCAGGAAGTTGACAAGGGACAAGGAAGACATCTGCTGCACTTCCAGGTCAGCAGAACGTAGTAAGGCATAGAAGGGTTCCAGATGTTCCACAGGCAGGGGGATGTTCACTGCAAGAGTGAGAGGAAATATTCATGAGTCCCATTGTTCATCACAGTCACATTTTTCCCTTGATGGACTTAAGCCTGAGGTGCTCCCATACACAGGCAGAGTGGTATTCACCTTCATTAAAATTCCACTGCCACTAGCAAACAGGGCAAGTTTCCTGAAGAAGTTTTGAATAATCAAGTACCTCAAAAACATCATGGGAAGGGAAGAGGTGTGCCTTGCTAACAAACAAGTCATTCTGCCTCACAGCAGGTCCTTGCCTTGTGGCTACCGGCACTTTTTATCCAGCAAATAATACATGGGATAAAGCTATAATCCAAGTGACAGAATATTGTCTTTGAAGTAAAATTAAAATAAACAAATAAATAAATTGCAACCTGCTTATTGCTAGTATTTTTACCTTTTTGTAGAATTCAAACTCTTGCTGATATTTTATTTGGGATATCTAGGCTGACTCCTAACCATTAACAAACTACCTCAAGAGCCAAGTGCTCCCACAGAATATTTGAAACAAAGAAGAATGTGTCCTTCATAGCTTTTCACTACAATCTAACTTCTGGACCATTGTCCTCTTTTGTATATAATTTTTAACGTTAACTGGTCACTATGTCCATTTCCTTTCACCATATTTTGACTGTGTTGCTTTCAGGAGATTCAGTATACACTAACTTTAAATACTTTGGGTTCTGCTGAGCTTCACATAAGTAACAGTCTTTTATAATCGTAAGAGATATCTCCTTATAGCAAAACCCAGAACTGACTCTGCCTATATGGCAATAATAGTTTTCCATCTTCCTTAGCAAACAACATGGCATGAAAGCAAAAAAAAAAACTTGCTTAATGAATCAAAAGGAGTTTCACAGTTTGAAATAATATTTTTATTTATAATCACATGAAAATTTTCTAATGCTTACTGAGGTAACTTACTGTGCTGACTCATATGCAAGTAATAGAGGGCAGCCGACTGCTGTAAACCTGGGTTTTCCGAAAAGGATAAGGTCCTCAAGGCTTCCAGAGGGTCCTTTCCCAGTGGAGACATTTCAAAATCTAAAGATGTAAAATGACAGCACAGGCTTAATTATATCTGTAAAGGGTTAGTTTACAAAAAGAAATTAAAATTTAAAGCCAACCAAATGCATAAGGATTTCTGTACTCCATAAACCCATCTATCTTTATTCATGTTTCCATGAGCAGAAGCAATAGATGAACTGGGAATAACCTGTCCTTGGCAATGCCTCTTGTAAAGCTCACAAAGCTAGTGATTAGAAACAAGATAAATTATAACCTTTGGACACTTTTATGCTATCTAATATAAATGCAGGTGCTCTTGTTCTCCACAAAAATCTTTACCTTTTTCTGAATCTTTGTTAAAATACTGAACATGGTGTTCTTAGTTAAGTAAGAGTATATATTTCTAATTTATTTTGTATTTCTATATATATTTATAAGTATAGAAAGAGTATATATTTCTAAGTTACCACATCTGAAGTTCACTGTGTTTCCTGTCTTGGGTATTGAAATACAGGATTTAAAGGAATAGCAACATGCAAACTGGCTTGCCTCAGGCTTAAATTTCTAGCATGAGTCTACCTGTTCTCGAGTATGATAGCTCCCCTATGAATAAACCAGATGTTCAACAACAGTCATCAAGCAATAGCAGTCATGCATGACTTCTGTAAGTCACTGCATAATATAATATGTGTAATGGAGCAGCAGAGAGGAAAAGGAAAGGGACACTGAATGAAAGAACAGAGTTAAAAAGGCAATGTATGATTGATCAACAGGTGGAGCACACAATTATAAGATATATTTTTAGGCAATAGATTAAAGCTGTGCAATAACGATTTAAATACTTCTGTGAAAAATATCTAGCTATTACCTCCCACGAGACAAAGAAATGTGAGGGATGTGAGAAGCATGGTGTTCATGCCTCACTACAAAACACAGCCAATATCTCAAGCCATTAGAAGCTGCTAACATGTCAAGACTAGCAAACTCCTACCCTCAGGATTAGGCAAGTGAGCTTCACAGAACTGCTTCATATAAAAATAATTTTAAAAAATAATTAGTAGTATACACAAAGGGAAGGACTCGCCTGTGTGTGCAAGGTTTTCAACAAAAAAAAACCAAAAAAAACTCTTCATGTGGTTTAATTGTGTTCCTTTTACTATTTGAACCTGAATCTATCTGATTCTTCTATATGTGGTTTTGTCTGGGAGAGTGATAAAACTGAAACCACTCAAAATCTTCACCTGCTCAAAATATCAAAATTTGCTGCCCTGGTTAACAGATGAGTGTGATGATCAACCATGAAGTCTCTCCTTGCAGCCAAATTGTCCAAACACTGTCTTTTTGCTTATTATATTTGTTCCTATTTATTATATTTTGTTCCTATTTATCATATTTTATTATATTTTGTTTATTATATTTTGTTTTGAGGATAGGCTTGTTCCCTCTTGGAATAAAATACAAAGGTGAGTGTTAAAGTAAGAGGGATGCGTTCTTGGTTCTCTTTGTGAGGTTTCCCTGCCTCCATTTGTCTAGGCAGTAAGATCTGGCCATCCAGACAACCAGACTGGTTCTGCTTCCTGGGTGCTGTATATGCCCTGTCACGGACAATGGGACATCCCTGAAACCCCTCGTTGTCATGTGTACTGTTGTCAGAGAAGCTCTAGGCATCCTGCTACTGTACCCCAGCTCCCATGGATCCAAGACAGACCAGACTTTTGAAGACTGATCTCAGAGAGGAAAGGATCTCTCAAGAAAACACACATTTATTCTTTTCAGGGAACACCAGTGGCTGCTACAAGGAACCATTCTGGCCTCCCCTTCATTACATCTCAGCCATCAGCTGTGCGGGGATACTGCCAAGACGGTGTCCTATGGAGTCAGGAGCATGCTGGACTTTGGAAGAGAAAGTTCAGCCCTGGAAGATCTCCACTGTATGACAAGCTGAAAGATTTGTCCCTATTCTGGATATGAATGTCAGGATTTAAACCAGTGCTAAAGGTGCAACAAACAGTGAACCTTAGCAGCAGCACAGGACCCACCACATTTGCTGGATAATGGCATCAGCTAATACCGACTGAGGCTAATCCACACATGTTCCCAACTACCAGAGTCACAGCAATTATTCCAAAGGTTGTTCCATGACAGATCATTTCAAATAGAATTAACCATGTCACACCAAGGAAAAATGTCTCTCCTGGTTCCCCTTACAAGATTGTTTCATGTTCCCAAAAAGACAAGTAAATGAATAGTAGTTCCACACCCTTCACACAAACCAAAGTAGGGGACTATGCAATTTTGTGTAGTAGCTTTAGCCCAAAGCTGTTAAACATAAAGTCACAACAATTAGTTGTGAGACAAAGCAAAACCATGACCCCTTTATCTTGAGATAAGGACTATTTTTAGATTGGACAACCAACAAAATACACTCATTCAAGATGATTACAGAAGTGAAATAAAAACGCAAGTTTTCCTATTGATATTGTATCCTAGGACAGGACAAAGAGGATATCACAAACAGAAAAACAGAGGAAATAGGCAGATAACTTGTAAAGCTAAGGAGATAGATGAAGACATACATCTACTTTGATTCAAACAGAATCCCATGATTGTGATTAAGCCTGATGTCTAAAACATTTGCACAAAAGCACAGTTGCTTGGAATCCTGAGAGCTCAATGATGCTTATCCCAGGGTGACTTTGATTTTCCTCATGTATAGCCCAGACATTCCTAGCATAAGTCCCAGGGTTCAGCCAACACAGAGGTGCACAACTGTGCACATCACACTGTGATCTGCTCCCTCACAGCTCAGCACTCACGTAGCATCCAGTCCTATCAAAGCCTATGTCCAGTTTTGTCAGTTCCTTTTAACTGACTTCAAAAAAATAACTTAAATTTCTAGAAGGAGTTATTTTTATGAAACCCATTTACATGGGTTATATATTAACAGTGGTGGCAGAGCAAGAAAGTTATTGACCACTTCTACCCAGATCCAACTGTTGCACGACTTGAGCCCTTGGTGTCCTGTACACAAAGAAAATGCTCTGTAGCTCTGGCCTTTCCTCATCATCACTGAGCTACTCAATGCCATACCAGAGCAGATCAGGTAGCAATTTGCTTTCAACCCACAAAATTAATCCCCTTGCTCTTTCACAATCCTTTAGAAAAAGAAAGTCTTCTTACCTGTTTCAATATGCTGAAGAAACTCCTGTGCAGTCACTCTCTCATGAGGCTGTAGGATGGGCTTGTACAGCTGCCTGTTTTTAGAGCTGTTCTGTTTTAAGCAGGAACAATTGCTTATCAGAGTTAAGCATTCCTTGATGCCTTGCACCAAGTCAGAGGACATCCTCTGAACAAAGCCTATGAAGTCCCGCAGGAGCTGCATGCATCGTCCACATAGCTGACCCATTCTTGTTCCAGCAGCAGCACAAAGCAAGAAGAAAAGGAAGGAGATGGAAACAAAAGTTTCTTCTCAATTTGTCCGCCTTTTGCACTAGCTTGCCTCTTCACTGTTTTTCCTGTCTTACAGATATTAACACCACACCATGCGCAGATGCTGTAAGGCAGACAGACTTCTGTGTCCAAAAAAATACATTTCACAAGGCTGGTTTCTGCAGATCTCCTGAAGTTCATAAATTATTATTTAAAATGAGTGCACTGGAGACACACCTTCCTTTCACTTGAAGAGAAGTAAGATAATGAGCTAAACACATTTCATAGAGAGCAAATGGAGTTTAGGTTATGGATCATCCACCAAAGCCTGTATGAGGCTAGAAAAACTCTGGGATAATGGAAAATGCAACCTGTTTTTGTACGGCAGCTTTCCACATGAGAGGTAGGCACCACCTTGTCTGCATGTGTACAAGCTGCAGCTACCAATTGGAGAGAGGAGGATGAAAAAAAAAAAAGAGCAAGCAGACAGGTTTTTCCAGTTTTTGCTGAAGCACAGATCAGAACAAAGGAGCTGTTGGACAAACAACTCATAACTCAGTCACCTGAGATTTTGCAAATCAGCAAGAATAGAAAACAGGGGGAAAAAAAAAAGACAGTGGCCAAATGAATTTAGCACCATTTTCTTCCTGTCAAGCCAGTCCTGCTAAGTGGGCTGAATAAGTTAGCAATGGGAGGATGCAAAAATTATCTGCTGTTTTCATGCAGAAAGAGGTAGTAAAAGAAAAATGTTCAGTTTTCCTTTTTTCTTAATTCACCAGTCTGGTGCATGTGCCCACCCTCGGCTGAAGAGTTTTACAAATGACCCTGGTTTAATTCTTGCAGCATGAGTTGATTTTTGTAATATTGAGGATTCCAGTAAAAACTGGTTTGATTCACAGTCACCTTAATTAGGGATCCTGTAGGTACGAGTCTGCTGAAAGTTAATCACTTTTATTAACTTCTTATTCACTGATTTGGTGGATTTATTCTAATGATTGCATTTGATACATTTACTGGTAAGTTTTCACCTCTGTCCTTTAATGAATCTTTATTTTCTAAATAAATCATGTTTGAAAATCAACCATTTGTTCTGCACCCATCTCCAAACACTCATGAACAGACTAACCCAAATCTCTCTGGTCTGTCCAACAACTGCTTTTTTTTCTCTTGATGTAATTTTCTTAATCACAAATTCCACCTGTCACAAATAAGTTTGCCTACACTGGTAAACCAAAAATTAAGACACTTCTAATACATAATGCAATTCATTAAAAAGAACTGTGATTTTGATTTTTCTGGCTACTTCCTTGACCAGCTCTGCAAATCCATTGAGTTCTGATCTCTGTCTGGCTTCTTAATGTCATCAAAAGCAAGGCTAGGATGTCTATTTTCTCATCATGTTTTCTGGATCCTTTCAGTAGGGGTCTTCTAAAGAATAGGGAACCTATGTGATTGCCAGGTCCTACTTCTCCCACCACTTGCTCTTCACCTTTGCTCATCATTTTCCATCCATCAGCTTTCATCCTAAAAGCCTGCTACCTTTCACATGCTCCTTTGTCTCTTGCTCTGCTCTAATAAACTGTAATGGTTAATTGTGAGGTTCTTTAAAGGTAACTTGAACTGTACTGCACTGAGATGATAAAACAACAGGATTGCTTCAATGATACTGTTTCAATTTGCTAGTAATGACTGCATTTCTGGAAAGCTCTTACTAAACATTTCAAAATGTACTGCGAACACTAAAACCAGCTTTCCAATGCATCTGTAAAGAAAATATTCCCAAAATGGTTTAAAAACAAGTTTCAGAGGTGCCAAGATCTTGCAACTCTCTTTTAGATAAGTGGGAGTTAAAGAAGTGCATGAAACTTGAAAACTAGGCTATAATTTGCCTGAAGGCATAAAACTCAGGTGTCCTGATGCATAGTTTGATTACTCAGTCAGACAATTGTTCTTTGATTTGAAACAAATACTTGAAAGCCAGTGTGGAAGGCTGGTTTTACGGATCTTCAAACATTCTCTGAAATCACAACAGCTGCTATAAAGATAAGGGTTGAAACTATAAATCAAATGGTTTTGATTGGTTTCATGACCTTGATAAGTTTCCTTATTAATTGAATAAAATGTCACCTCAAGATTGCAGGAGAGGAAAAAAATAGTAGTACCATAATAATGTTAGACTATTTTTGTTTTTATTCTTGTACAGAACATGCTTCAAATAGTAATTGTCCCACACTCAACATCTTGATTTTTGTCTCCAAGGGAAAAAAAAATCTGTTCCTTTGTACAGTATTAAAAAAGCCTCTCCAAACCATTTCCATTCAATTTGTGTGAAAAAGAGACTTCCAAGAAGTAACCTTACTGTGTGAAGGCTATTTGGAATTCTGTACAAATGAATTTGGGAATTTAAATCTATTTGCCAAAAAAAATATGGATTCTGTAGCTAAACAGTATTTTCAACAGAAAGCTTCCACTGGTCCAGCATTTAATCTGGCATATAGCTTCTCTGCAAATGACAGAAAATACTGGTTTTGGGCACAATCCCTTAAGCACCTGACACTTACAGTGTCTATTTTTCTATGTGACACTCACATTTCCTATTTTTGACACAAAAATAGAAAATGTAAAAAAATATACTTATTAATCTACCATTTTGGTTCTGCAGCATGTCACTGCTTAACTGCTTCTTTTAACAGAAATTCTCTTACCAGTTGGCAATGGTGCATAACTTTTGATTGCTCAAAAGTTGTCTGTCACTGGAGAGATGTACACAAATACTCTTTCTACTCCTCTTTCATACATGACCTAGGGCCTCTTCATGCTATCAGGCCCCCAAACACCCTCAGGCTCTGACATAAATATTGGGGAAAAAAAGGTGAACTTTATTTGAGCTGTGGTAGTAAACTTTTAGCTCCTGGGGCTGGATTTTAAAAATACTGTTATCCCTGTGGTTTTAATCAATGGAGAAAGGATTTTTGCAGAGTGTAGGGGAGAGGCAGTGATTGAGAAGTTGTGTAGTTGTGTACCAGTTAAATAAGAAAAAAGGTACTTAAAAGCAGTAAATTAAAAAAATATACTTACATTATTCAAGAATCCAAAACTGTTAAAAAATTGAACTAATTAAATTGATTAATTAGTTCAATTAAAATTGAACTAATTAAATTTACTTTTTATAAATTTGTCCCATGTACTTTTTTTATTGCGACTTTGTCTCATATACATTTCTTTCATATTCTTTCACCCTCTTGTTCATCAGTGAGGAAAGCACTGTACAGTTTAGAAAGATGCACGATGGCTGTACATTGGTGCTTGTTTAGCAAGAGATTCGATTGAAAAGGTTGTAGCTCCCCTAAGGCCTAGCAGGTCTTTATTGTTCCCATACCTGCAGCTGAGGCCTCCTCACTTGTACTAATTCACTACTCTTTAAACTGGATCTATAAAATTTTGTGACTATAAAATAGAACAGAAAATAGTCACAACAAAAAACTAACAACAAATCAAAGGACTTAAATTCTCAAAATGGACCTACCATTAACAGAATAGTAGAATAAAATAAAGAGTTTGAAAAAAATGTATTGGGAAAGAACAATTGTAAACTCTGAATCTAATGTATGCAACTTATATTACCACTGAGCTCTTTTATATATACATATACACACATATGGATATATGGCGTATATGGTACAGGTGCATACATATACACAAAATAGATATAAAAAATACATGTGTGTACATGTGTGTGTGTGTGTGTGTGTGTGTGTGTGTGTGTGTGTGTGTACTGTTACGAATTCAGGAAGAGTTCAGCTGAACATAAACAGATGACAGTCATTCAAGCAGCAAGGAAGCCAGATGTGAGGACTTGATAGATCCTAATTTGTGGAAATCTGCCAGGGGTTACTTCATTGCATAGCTAGGCAGAGCTTTATGTGCATTCACTGTGATTTCTGTAGAGCATAAAGGAAGCTGTTCTCACTGCATCTAATTCCTTGGCTGAGGTATTTGCCCATTCTCCTTCAGAGGGAGAGTGCCATCTACTGAAGCATTCCTTTACACAGCTCCCTTGAGCCTTGTGCCACTCATGGACTGACAAAATCCATTCAAAGGGGTTGTAAAATTGAACAAGGTTTTAAAAGGAAAAGCAGCTGCTCTAGATGTGAATCTCTGTTGTAAAGCACCAGCTGCACGTAAAGAACCAGGCCAAAGATGGTAAATACAACCACTGACTTGAGCAAGCTTGTGCTCCAGCTTTTGAAGAGATTAAAGACAATTTCACTCTGGGGTTTCTTCATTCCTAATAAATCCTTGGAACTGAGATTACATTACCATTTTGTAACTCTTACGAGTGGCATTCCCTGATCAGACAATCCAATTTCACGGCTGACTATCAACCATGGACTCTCCTACCGATTCCTCCTTCCTGTGTTAGTGCTAACAAGATGTACAACTAGTCAGCCAATTTACTGAACAGTGAGAACACCTGATAGCAGTCACCAAGAGTCTGGCTTGGGCCAGTGATGACACAGTATTATTGTGATGCTTTGTACTTATGTATTTTCCCATTTGCCTTGAGCTTCATGTTTCATTGTAAATTTTCTGGACTGCTGCTGTATTCAAATAAAGCAGCAGTTTGTGACATGCCCAGAGCTACTGTCTCCTATGATAATAATAAGCATATAAAAATTGAAATATTTTTGGTATTTTTTATTGCTTTGTAGCAAAAGATAGTATCTCTAAAACATCAAAGGCAGCTCAGAGGTGCCCATGTACTTCAGAGATTTCAACAAATTGTATAAAAATGAAGTTAAATTTTACAAGGTAAATTACCACACAAAGTCATGGAGCCAGAGGAGACAGAAACCTGTCAGGTTGTGTTTCATGTGAATACCCTTAGAAAGCCACTGGTTTGGTGTGTTTCAAAGCACAGATGCCTGTCCTGATGCTTTTGCTACCAAGGGGCTCCACTGAAGAATCACACAGCCC